GCTGGGAGCTAAGCTGGCCTCTTGGCCGCTTTTTTTTCTTTCCCACCTAACACCATCCAGAGAGAAGGGCTCAATGACAGTCGGTCCCCTGGGTCCGATGTTCGGGGGCTTTCCACGTGGCTAAAGCTTTAGGAGGTCCCCGCAGCCCAAAGCCCTGGTTGTATCGGGGCAGGGGGGGATGATGCTTGGTCCACCGCTGCTGCTTTTTCTGATGCATTACGTCCTGATGCTCTTGAGCGAAGAGATCCCATCATGGTTGCTGTGCTCCCGCTTTGAATTCAGGCAGGACCCTGAATCTCTCTGTAACGAGACTGGTTGGTGCTCTTTCCTAAAGCTTTCTGGTTTAAGGCTCCATCTCAAAAGGGAGGTAGAGGACTCCAGGCAATATCACAGCACCCGTCCCTGCCAGTCCTCCTGTGACATCCCCAACTCCAAGATACAGGTCCTGCGGCTCACCGCTTGCTTTCATGGGCGGCTCGTTACGCGTGGCAGCTTGAGCAATCGCGTACCTGAGAACTGTGCCATAGGGTTAGAAATCGCACTGTAATGTTGCTCAAGGATGTGGAGGCACGTTGGTACCGTGAACACCTAGAGATGATCTGCTGGCTGTATCTGTTGCTGCAGCTCTGGCTGTTCCCAGGGTTATCTCCTGCTGCTGTTGGATGGAGCGGCGTGACTGTAGGCACTGCGGTTTGCATTTTATACCTCTCTGATTTTATTTTTTGTTGATGGCAAATAGCATTTCTTGTTTTAAAACCCCTGAGAAAGCTGCAATACAAGTGAGCTGGGAAGTGGCATGTGAAAGGCAGATGGAGCCTTGCTCATGCAGAATTGTGCCAGTTCGGGTGGAGCCCTGAAGGAGCGGATGCTGCTTTGGGGAAGAGTTTCCCACCCAGGACAGACCAGCAGGAGTTAATCCCATCCCTGATGCTTAAATAGTGAGGAAGCTTGGGCTGGGAGGAAGTCTCCTCTGGCTTTAAGGCGGATAATGTGCCGTTCAGGATGGGGATGACAGGTGCCTTGCTCACAGCCGCGGAGCCCAAAACCGTGCTGGCCGTCATCCTCGCTGTCTGCCAGGAATAAAGGCTAAGATGCGTCAGGCTGCTTTCTGGGAATAGGGCTTGGTCGTTCCCGTCTGGGCTGTGATTGCCGTGAAATAGCCCCCCAGCTGCCTGGCACC